ATTTTAGTGGAGTTAAGTAATAAGCACTACTTTACTGCGAATTTAATACGGTCGAAACTGCGGAAAAAAGCTAGTCTGATAAAAATAAAGCTTTTAAAATACTCGATCGTTTTACCCATCTAGTGGATAATTAACAAATCACCGGATCCACAGCTCGAAGTAAAGTACCTACAATATAACGCTCCATGTATCATTGTAATGACTAGTCTAGGAAATCTTTAGTCTATGGATTGAAAGCGTTCGATTTTGGATATTGCCAGTAATAAAATTATGCGGTGATGGTAAATGTTCGTTACTGACGTTTCGTTCGTTAATTGCGTCTTGTCTGGGAGAGCAAACCAATTTAATGCGTTTAAAATGACATTAAATTCATTTATTTTCAGTTAAACTCGTAGGTCTAGCGCTTAAGTGAATCAGTGCCTGAATTATGAGAGTGGTGACATTGACATTTATGACGGGACAGAGCATATTCTCCAACTACAACGAACCGTCCCATCAGTGATATTGACAGCGGGGCGCCACCATCAATATCGGATCGCTGGTTACGATTTTTGCCACGTTGGAAACTTTATAGTTGAACGATGGTGGCGCCTACCTATCAATGAGTTTGGTGGGACAGTTTAGTACAAATCTGATAGATTAATCTGAAGTCTCGCTGACGTTTAACGTGTCAAAAATACCCCTCCCGTGACGCTCCCATACCTCGGGCACTAACTAACTTACGCGTTACTTAGACCTATCCTATAGTTAGCTTTTAAAGAGCTCTAGTTATAAACTTTTTTGCACATCCTAGCGTTATAATATACGGTTATTTTTTCTTCATTGTCACAAAAATTGGTCATCAAGGCGAAATTAAAGCTTTAACGTTCTCTTCCAGCTACGCAGTAAGTAATAGTTAGATAGTAGGTACTACGAAATGCAAGTAGGTAAACAAATTAAATAATTAATACCTACTCATTGTCTATGTTTTAAAATAATATAATAATAAATCATTTATTTGCTCAGAAATAATTTGTTGTATAAGTAAATAACAATGAATAAATTAGACAAAGTTAGGGATGACTACATGCTTTGTAAGTTATATTAATTTTAGCAAAATATCCTCCTTGATGAGGTACCTACAATTTACTAATTTATTATACGCACCTGTTGAATAGTAGTTCGTCGTTTTCTCTACCAAATGACGTCCACTGCTGGACAAATGCCTCCCACAAAGATTTCATCAACGACCGGTCCTGCGCCGCTCCCATCCAGGCACATCCCGCGACCTTCACCAGATCGTCGGTCCACTGAGTAGGGGGCCTGAAAAGTAGTTAAAAACTACTAAGTATATATTATAAAACAAAGTCGCTGTGGTGTCTATCTGTCTCTATGTATGCTTGTTCGTAGATCTTTAAAACTTCGCAACGCATTTTGATGCGGCTTTTTTAAATAGATAGTTAGAATGATTCAAGAAGAAGGTTTATAGGTATAAAACATGAATATTATAGAAGAGAAAAGCCGGGAAATTCCATTGCAACCGTGCGAAGCCGGGTCGGGCAGCTAGTTATTGAATAGAAATAGGTTTTAACTGGCCTTCAACGCGCAAAGAGTTTAAAACCCTTTTCCCACGGCAATCCAGTTTTCTGAATGTTGAATCCCGCAAAACTGAACTGTCGTGTGAACACACAAAGTCAAGAAATTCGAATTCCTTCGAACGAATCGGTTTTCTGCGGGACACTGCAAACGGGATGTTCGCGTGAATGTTATTGTTAAAACACATATACTACTAAGTGTAAATGGGATCCAGCAAAAAACAGTTCTTGCAAAAAACGAGATGTCTCTGTGAGATAGCGCCCTGAAATTATATTCTGTGCACTTTTAAATAAAAAAAAAGTCATAAAACTAATTTATTTATGCAAGTGGGCTTTTAAAAAGCACTTTTACACGTCCCAGTATTAACCCTACCACTGCTTCAGGACAATAAAAAGGTCAGTGCTGAGAAGGAGCAGCGCAACAAATTCTCGCCCGTATTCACAAACATTATTATGAGGTCTCACAGTGCGCAACACGAACACACACACACGAACCAATCACAGAGCTCTATTCAACGCAGTGCGTTCACTTAAGCAAGCATCGTTTGTGAATACGGGCGTTAGTCACTATTGTCGGCCGCTTTTTCAAGGGTTTATAAAATAAGAAATATCAATTTTCTGCCAGTCAACATTATCAATTTCTTTCACCGATAATCCCAATCAGAATTCATATCACGCGATTTACCCCGAAATAATGTAAAAACACTTCAAAAATTGCACATTGATGCCGTCTAGCCGCGTATTGGCTAAGTCCATCAGTATGCCGGCGGCGCGTTGGCAAACAGATCAGCGCGTTTGATTGAATTTGCGCACGTCAATCACTGAGGGGAGAAGAATACGTCAAATCTAACAATATAGTGGCGGTAGGTGGGAAATAAAAATCAGTTTTTTTACATTGTAATATCCTATAGCCGCCAATGAAATACTTTATTATCATTCATCATCATCATTTCAGCCATAGGACGTCCACTGCTGAACATAGGCCTCCCCCAATGCTTTCCATGTTGATCGATTGGTAGCGGTCTGCTATCAGAAATGAGGAGATTCGCAAACGAACTAAAGTCGCTGACCCTGACATAGCCCGACGGATTAGCAAGCTGAAGTGGCAATGGGCAGGGCACATAGTACGCAGAACTGACGGCCGATGGGGCAGCAAGGTTCTGGAGTGGAGGCCGCGTACCTCTTATAATTACATCTTTTCAATTTCATTTGTCTAAATCAACTTTATACACTTTTGCTAGCAATAATCAGTCAGTACAAAATTGCAATTTTGTAGGCAGCCGAACATTTTTCTGCGATAAAACGACCACGTCTCCCGACTCTAACTAAGGCTGAATTACACCAACTTATTATAACCGTAACAATACACTAAGGCCCAGAACAGACGGTGAAATGCAACTGCAACGAAACTGCAACTGCTAGTTACTTTTGAGTTGCATCCAAGTTTCTGCCATAGCGTCCGTTGAGAGACCACACATGACGCGACCAGTTTGAAACTTTCAGTTTCAGTTTCATTCATCAGAAAGTGGCAGTTTCGTTGCAGTTGCGTTTCACAGTCTGTACTGGACCTAACCGGCGCTTTTTGTATGGAGTTTGACAGATTTTTGACGTTTGTCAAAGTTAAAGTAAGATGGTGCAAGTCAGCTTAAGATGTTGGTCTCTTTTTTTAAACGGTCGGCACGACTATTTCTGTATCAACCATTTATCAACTAAACAAAAAAGTCAATCACGTAATTTAGTTAGAAAACCTCCTTTGCGGCATCGGAACTAAGATCTAGGTGGCGCTGCGAGCACGATCCGGTGGCGGGGATATCCTGTCGCGTTGTACCGCGTAGACGTTGCGCGTATCGCTGGAAAAGTTGTTGAATTAGCAAAGGAAGTTGCAGTCGAGGCCGACCTTTAGTAATGAAAGACGTTGCAAAAATTATTGCCGTGGTTTAGGGCGTGTACAGAAACTGAACACTGCATCTTATGTAGTTGTCATAAGAACTATATTTTGCAATAACGATTTATTAGTTTGATGTGCTGTTGAGTTAATGTCAAAGGCGCCCTCCATAATTGATCAACGTTAGGTCTTGTATTCAAAAATGCTTTGTCTCTTTATTGAGTTAAATTAAAATTTTGCAGAAAGAGACCCGAATCGCTACAACGGACTTAGTTGCAAACACATTACTTTATTCCCGGTTTCAGATTGAATAAAATTGACAGAATGAAATCTGATTGGTTCATCATCATCATTTCAGCCATAGGACGTCCACTGCTGAACATAGGCCTCCCCTAATGCTTTCCACGTTGATCGATTGGTAGCAGCCTGCATCCAGCGCACAGTGTTGCCGGTTCATAGTAGGTAACGGACAAAATTATTTTCGATCTGAACTTACTACCCTTTGTCAGATTTGTATAGAATATAACTATATCTAATAGAAAAAATACATTTTTTAGTTTTGAAATTGGTACATATTTTAGTACAAACTTGGAACAAAAATGAATGCAAAATATCATCTAACTTCAGCTTAATGATTAGGGTTTGTGGCTTTCCATAGCTCGATAGGCTTATATCATCCAAATGTATTTCTTGGTGCACCTTTGTAATGACGTTAAGTATGTTACCATGTGTAATTGACCGCTTGTTTACAGGAACTTGATCCAATTCTCAAACAGCGCCTCGGAAAAATTCTTAGTTTCGAAAATCGCTAAAAACAGCGCGGGTAGTATGTCGTAGCAAAATTTGTTTTTACTACATGAAAATATAATATCTGAGGATAATTTCTATCAATATTTCGTTACGGAAAGTAATGGAAAATATGTACTTTCAGCCTTGTGAGTATAATTTTTAAGGTCGTTTTCAATCACTGTTTTTGTTAATTTTTATTAAATAAATAGGCCTAAGTTCTATAAACACAAATACATTTTCTAAAAGACAGTACCTTGAACTCTAGAACCCATATTTTTAATCGTGTTAATATTGTCAATTGACAAAACAGTGCCTAAATGAATAAAGCAATATTTTTGTTCCAGGGAAACCTTGTTATCGGACGCCCTACTTTGACCAGTCATATTTTCATTTCTGTTAGCAATCTATCCTCAATATTTTGCATTTTCACGACACACATATTCAGTTTGAATAATAGTTAATCAATTTTCGTTTACGGTAAGTTTCCAAAATTTGGTTTTTGTCCGGCCGTGGCAACACTGTGCAGCGCTTCCCTGCTACCTTTACGATGTCGTCAGTCCACCTTGTGGGTGGACGTCCCACGCTGCGTTTTCTTCTCTGATTGGTTATTCAAAACATTTCTCTGCTTCGTTCCGTCTTGGTGGAAACCGGGCCTTAATTTGAACTTTCTGAATTTTCTGTTGTACTGCTGTCTGAATTTAAAGGTAGGCATTTATCATACTAATGCTATTATCTTTTCCCGCAGGGGTGATGGCGAGGGCTGAGGCGCGCGGGTGATGGCGCAGACTCCCTTCACCGCGCTGCCCTGGGGCGTGCCCTACCAGTACAGGTGACCACCAGCTACTAGCATCTGCAGCGTCTGAGACACGCAGCAGATCTGACACTTAACCCTTCGTAAAGTCGCAAAACAACTCCTTGTTGGCCGTTTGGTGTAGTGGTTCAGGTGTACGTTACTCCAGCTGGAAAGTAGCTCCTAGAGTGATATGAGTAGAACGTATAATTAGTTCCCAACATGGTGTAAATGTGCGCCGAATTAGAGATTAGTGCGTGCTGTCGTTTTGGTACAAAACGAAAAAAACGATTCCTGCTGGAGTAACGTTGTTCTAGCAGGAAAATTCTAAACGAATGATCGGAAAGAGAAAAACTGTGTACGAGCAGATAGCTTATATTTGTTCTATTGTGTGAGCTGAAAGTGTGATTTGGACTACTATGCCGAGAGGTCCCGGGTTCGACTCCCGGCCGGGCAGAAATTGAAATGATGAATTTTAATTTCTGTGACGGGTCTGGGTGTAAATATGTATAACATGTACGTATTTAATAATAATAAAAAAAAAATATATAAGTAGTATATCCGTTAAGCTAGCACCCATAACACAAGCATTGAGTTGCTTACTTTGGGGCTAGCTGGCGCTGTGTGAAATTGTCCAAAACTCGTGCAGCTCGCGTGGACGATGGCGATGGCGATCCTACCGATTTCTACTGATCGCCATCGCACACGCCGGCTACACGCGTTGGTTTAGCACTGGTTTAGCGCCGAGCCTTTAGCACTGTCAAGACAAGATGCAAGGACCAATTACTTTCCCCTTGTGTCTGCTGGTATCGAGACATTCGATTGGTTAAAACAACTGTTACTTTTTCATAAGTTTCGAAGTGTTTACTGTGCAACATGCAGCTAGAAGTTTTTTTGCGATTAATAACAAAAGTATTCTAATGATTAAAGGTTCGGCCAAACCAACGCGATCACACGTGATCAGCCGGCGTGCAGAGATGGGGACCAGACTTAATGCATTGATCGCCATCGCTGCACGCGCCGGTTGATCGCGTGTGATTGCGTTGGTTTGACCGAACCTTAAGCAATCTGTTTAAATTCGTAGCAGGTTCCAAGAGACTACTAAGGCTGGGTTGCATCATCTTACTTTAACTTTGACAAACGTAGTGTAACGTACAATAGTTTTAAGTTAGTTTTCTTAACCAATAGTAACATTTCTCCCGCAGAGACCCCGGGGCGGGCGGCGCGCGGCGGGAATACGACCTTGCGCCGCACTACACGCACGCGCACGCGCACGCGCACGCTAATGCGCTTACGCACGTGCCGTGAGTATACCCTGATAATCATCATCATTATTATTTCAGCCATAAATAGTACTGAGCCCGACATAGCTCGCAGAATTGCTAAAATCAAGTGGCAGTGGGCGGGGCACATAGCTCGTAGAGACGATGGCCGTTGGGGCAGAAAAGTTTTCGAGTGGCGACCACGGGCTGGAAGACGTAGCGTGGGCAGGCCTCCTACTAGGTGGACCGACGATCTGACATCACTCCACCATGTACCTCGTCCGCGCAACCACGACCACTCTGACAAGAATGTCCGACTAAGAAGAAGAACTGAGCCACAGTTCCAGCTACTCATGATGTCGTCTCGTTTTATCGCAAAGATTCGCATTTTGATGAGAGCGAGAGATAAAACGAAAATGGGTAGCTGGAACTGTGGCGCACTGTGTCCACTGCTGAACATAGGCCTCCCCCAATGATTTCCACATCGCCCGGTTGGTAGCGGCCTGCATCCAGCGCCTTCCTGCTACTGGTAAACCGCTAAGGGTTAGGGCGGGATTAAAGATTCCTAACTAAAATGTATTTACTTCGTCATAAAATATTGGACACGTAATTTGTTATTTTTCAATCAAACAAACAATATTTACGAAGATAATAATGATGACGCGTTGAAGTTCCGCGTGACGTCATAGTAATTCGCTTTACTACGTAGTAAATAGTAATTTTACGAGCCCCCTTTGAACTTTGGCGCGTTTATCATAAATTAATTACACTTAAAGTTAAAAATACGTGTTGGGTAACTAATTAAAATTATTGTTTTTGTAACTCATATTTCCGTACCGCGCGGGAATAACTTGACATCTCGACCTGCACTTTTTTTTTTATTAGCTTAAACGCTTCCTCTACCTTATACCCTACTGGTATAAAAAACTCAACTCGAAATACCCAAAAATACTTGAAATACAGCTCTTGTTCATAAGTAAATATCTACAATTTAGGCAATAAATATTTGACATAACGATATATCCAATTAATATTATTCGTACAAACATTTATATTTCGATTTATCAATGTATGTCAGAACATGTATCTATTAATATCTCGACTTATACATTTATGGATTTTCGTTTTTAATTTGACAAAAACAGTTATCAAGTTATGATCCCCTCTGAGTACTAAACACATCCATGATATGTGCAGTTGTCTAGTTATGCACGCTGTCAAGAGTTTGGATATTTGGAGTTATCCAGCTATTACCTTCGTATAATCATATTTTTATATGTGTCATTAGCAGTTGTTAAAATATAACATTGTTAGCTTTATATATTTTTTACTTATCAAAGCGTTAATTATTACTTTTATTACTATTTTCAATAGTTTAAAACTAAATTAACGTTTAAATAGCAAGTTGAAAGTAGAAGGATATGTTTAGTCAATAGGTAGGTCTATCTACTAATGTTTTTTTCATAACAGACTAATATCTGTACCCCCAGTGAAAAGGGATCTAACTCGACTTAGATCAAAATCGACTTTATAACATAATGTGAATCTCTGAAAAATTAGCTATTTTTGTATCTAATCGGTATGTTTCTACGACGTATAGAAAAGAAAATAATGTTGTGCCAAATGATACAAGTAAGGCTTTGTGAACTTTTCTTTCGTGTATATTGATACATGTCTACTTTTAACAAAGTGTACCGGAGTCTTCTTTCACTTTTTTATTGTGTCAAGAGGTATGACTCGTGTTACTACTTTTTACACGATTGAAGTTGTTCAGATTGAATTTGTGATTAACAATATAAGATGACGTGTAAAATGTTATAAGTTACTTAGATCAAAAACATTTGAAAATCGCAACTAATAATTTGGTTAATTATTTGGTGTAAAATGATACAACTTAGCCCAACGTCAGATTAAAGGAAAAAATAATGTCGTAGTTTATAAATCAAAGAACTTTAGTTAATAGTTTTAATAAATCTACTAGTAAAACATATAATTGAATTCATAGTGCCTAACGTTGTCAATAAAAGTACTTAATAAGTGCATTATTGAATTTACAAGAACTCCAACTACCAGAAATCTTTATAAACAAAACTCATCACCTTTGACAACAAATTGAACTGGGCGAGTCATGTCGAGAACAAAATAAAAATGACCTGTATAGCATTCCATCAGTGCAAGAGATTGTATGGCCCTCTTACACATATTATTATGGATCACTTGTGTGGTGGCACAGAACACAACTATCCACAGCAAGATCAAAACTCCAAAGCCTGCAACGCCTAGTAAGCATAGTGGGCACTAGTTGTATGAGAACCACTCCATCGACATCACTTGAGTACCTTCTGAATCTTAGATCTTTAGACCTCTTTATTCAGGAGGAAGCGCAAACAGCCGCCCTAAGACTTAAAGGTAAGAACGGCATATAAAAGCAAAAGAAGGAGACAGGACATTCCACGGTCCTGCACAAAACCCTAATAAAAGAAATACCTCTCACCGATTCGAGTGAGGGTAGCCCCCCCCTGAAAATAACCCCAGATACGCCAATGACTCATAATAAAAAGTAAGTAATTAATTAATTTCTTAGGTAGGTAAGTATTAAAAACTAAAAAATATGACGATTTCTTTAATGGTATGTGTCATAAAAGTACCTAACACCATACATTTATATATCACATAACTTGGAAAAAAGTAACAATAATACGGTTCCTTGTTTCGTGATACTGATTATTGCAAATTCCCCAAGTAAAATTCATAAATTATTGTCAAAATGTGTGAATTAACTATTATCTATCCCATATACAATACAAATAAACAAAGATATATAAAACAAATCGAAATAAAACCAAAATTATGTTGGTAATGTTATTATGATTATGCTAATTTATCTTAAAATTGGTCATATATGTGAACTTCAAACTCGTGTCATATAAATTCTAGTGAACGAAACATATACCGAATTTAGGTCATGAAAAACTTAAATAAATGAATTATTTGTTTCATAACTTACATTTAAATTATCATAAATAATTATTTAAAAACCAAGCATCAAAATGTTATCCATAATATCCTTGAATCGGTAGTGTCACGAAATAGGGGACACCCGAAAAATAATATGTACGCTATTTCGTGAGTCAATTAATCGCAATTTTAAAGGAATTCTACGTTTTCATATAACTTTTTTCTAAGCCAAATCCATTGTCAAGGAACACATGAAACCACTATTACAAGTTTTATTTAAATGAACGTTCCTTCGCCTTTTTATAAGCTTAAGAAGTTGGAGCGCTAACCTTACGGTGAGAACAACCTTTGCAAGCCGCACGGCTGTTTTTGGCTCTCTGAGAGTTTGAAGCTTCGTATTGCTCTCATTTTTGGCGCCACAATGTTGGTACTTGGTTTTTTAGATAGCTTAAATAATAGAGTTTTTCTAGTAATGAAGAATTATTAATATTATTTATAAATAATATTCCAATTGCTTATTATTTGAGCTAGAAAAAAAACTTACGAACTTACGTACTATCACGAACTAGTAGCCGTTTACCTTATTCCCGCGCGGTACGGATTTATACATACACTTATTACTCATAGGTTTATAGGCGCACCATCTTACTGCAACGTTAACAAACGTCAAGTCTGTCAAACTCCTTATAATAACACCGGTTATAGTTATAGTTACGGTTAAAGTAAGCTGGTGCTGAGCCTAACTATGAACGAGCGCGACAACTGACCGTCCATTATTATTTTACAGGAGTCTAATGACACTATCTGCTGTTTATTGTTTAAACCTGTAACCTAAAGATATAATAATTTATCTGTTCCAGATGTAAAGGCGAAGAGGAACCGCGACCAGACTATAGGGAACATTACCACCTTCACAGGTGAGTTTTTAAATAATGCTTTATCATACCACCATGTGCTCCGAGATCCATGATCCCCAACCCAACCCTCAGTATACCTACCTAAAAACTCTTGAAAATAATATTTTTTGGAATACAAACCCTCAACATGCAGTTGGCATTATGGATCACCAAGAATCTATCAAGCATAAAGAACATTCGCAATCGCAAGATCACGCTGCGCGTGTCTCCTTCAGTAATATTGCTCACGACAATAAGTCTACTGGGCGTCTCCCCTTTTCAACCAATATGGCTGCAATGTCCTCCGCCTTCACCGAGTCATCTAGACCGCACTGTTGCAGATGCAGATGCTGAGTGGTCAAGTCATTTTGGTTCTAACAACAAATTAAATATTTCATCAAACTGCTATCTTATGAATCAAAAACGTTCTTTCTTCCCTTCTTCTTTCCAGATGCAGTGCAGCGTACAGCAAGTGCGTGGAAGACACAGCTGAGGAGCCGAGAGACCGGGAGGAGGTGGTATCCAGCTCGGCCGAGCACCAGCATTGGGAGGAGAAGTTAGGTATGCAGTTGAACTCTACTGGCACTAAGGCTACAATGACAGTCAAACCATAGTAATGAGTATTGGTCAAACCAACTAAGACTTAGCCATACAAGAGATGTGATGTTGTGAAGTTAAGGGAAAACGATATTTAGGTAGAAAAGTGTGATGAAGAACCCTCAACCAAAATGTTTCTTTCTTTTACATTCAAAGGTACAAAATAATGCATTTACCGCGTAACCGAAAACACAGCGTGGGACATCCACACACAAGGTGAACCGACGACCTGATAAAGGAAACAGGGAGGCGCTGGATGCAGGCCGCTACAAACCATGCGATGTGAAAGTCATTGGGGGATGCCTATGTTCAGCAGTGGACGTCCTGTGGCTGAAATGATAATCATGATGATGTCTGTCAGTATCTATCCCACTACCAAACCAATGTAAACATTATATTATTATAATGCTTAATACATGGATGCTCATTTACATAAGACTTATAAGACTTTCAAACTGTTTCTGTAAACTTTGCAGTGACCAGCTCGTTATGCAGTTCGGCGTCCACTTCCAGGAGTGAAGCGGCTTCCCCGCACCAACACGTCAGCACCACACATGCAGGTATATTCGCACCTCTCGTTCCCACCGCTGCAACTCCTGTGCAGCCAGGATCTACAGCTTGACCGCCAATAACACAACCAGTGAAGGTCAAGTTTGTGCCGGGGGAAAATTAACTGTCATTACAAAATGCAGGTATATACCAGCTCGCACTACGCGTTTCTCTTACTCTTTTACAATTTAAACTGCTAGGGACTGGAATTCACTGCCTGCTGCTGTCTTTCAAATTCAAATTCAAATTTCCCGAGCATTATCCGCCTCTTCAAGGCGAGAGTGGATAAGCACTTACAAGACTATCCTAGACTGCATCTTACTTAACATCAGGTGTGATTGCAGTCAATGTTTTTTGCTGCATAAAAAAAATTCTTCTCGATTCACTCATTCCCGCACTGAGACGCTTTGACCTTAATTGGCTAGGCACTGACTGACTGACTGACTTCTAAGTCACGGGCGGCCGCTAGTTCTTCATAAAACTCAGCATTTTTGTGTGTCCCAGGCGGCGGGCGGCGCGGCGCCTTACAACTGTGGCAGTTTCTTGTGTCTCTACTGGCGGAGGGCGCGCGCTGCGTGGCCTGGACCGGCCGCGGGCTGGAGTTCAAGCTGCACGAGCCCGAGGAGGTAACATGCATCTTATGCTGACGGAACAGAGTCGATAGTACCCCAGCAACGTGGCACACGAGCCTGAGGCAACCTGCGCCTTATGCTGACGGCACAGAGGTGATAATAGCCCAGCAGTGTGGCGCGCTGCGACGCCTGGACCGGCCGTGGGCTGGAGTTCAAGCTGCACGAACCCGAGGAGGTAACCTGCATCTTATGCTGACGGAACAGAGTTTACAATAGCCCAGCAGTGTGCTGTATGGCCTGGACCTGCTGGAGTTCAAGTCGGACGGCGTACGAACTCTCAACATTACGTTAAGGTAAGTGCCCCCTACTTCGGTATATTAAGGCTCTTACGACTTTAACATTTTATTTAAAAATAACCAAGCATGATATCAATATGAAAGCTTTTGTATGCTAAACTTTGGTCTTTTGACAGTAAGTTAATACATTATTTATAGTTATATAGTTTTAAGTTTTTTTTATATTAATTGTTTTGCGGACCTCTTGTTTGGATCCTATTTCGTGACAAAATTTTGCTCTGTTTCTAAGTTCGTGAACTCATGTCCCCTATTTCGGGATAAGATTTTATGCATACAGTTAGGATATTTTAATAATGATTAAGGATTTAATAAATTTAAACACGATAACAAAAATTTTGAATAAAATAATTATGTGAAATTCACGATATTTTACCTGAAATATTCATTAGAAATAATGTGAGTCTAGTATAATATTTTGATTTGTTAATTCTAACATGTGAAAATATTTATATAACCATTAGAAATGTAGGGGGGGGGGGGGAATTTAACCCCCCCCCCCCCCGAACTTCAAACTCGTGTCATATAAATTCTAGTGAACGAAACATATACCGAATTTAGGTCATGAGAAACTTAAATAAATGCATTATTTGTTTCATAACTTACATTTAAATTATCATAAATAATTATTTAAAAACCAAGCATCAAAATGTTATCCATAATATCCTTGAATCGGTAGTATCACGAAATAGGGGACACCCGAAAAATAATATGTATGCTATTTCGTGAGTCAATTAATCGCAATTTTAAAGGAATTCTACGTTTTCATATAACTTTTTTCTAAGCCAAATAAATTGTCAAGGAACACATGAAACCACTATTACAAGTTTTATTTAAATGGACGTTCCTTCGCCTTTTTATAAGCTTAAGAAGTTGGAGCGCTAACCTTACGGTGAGAGCAACCTTTGCAAGCCGCACGGCTGTTTTTGGCTCTCTGAGAGTTTGAAGCTTCGTATTGCTCTCATTTTTGGTGCCACAATGTTGGTACTTGGTTTTTTAGATAGCTTAAATAATAGAGTTTTTGTAGTAATGAAGAATTTTTATAAATAATATTCCATTTGCTTATTATTTGAGCTAGAAAAAAAACTTACGAACTTACGTACTATCACGAACTAGTAGCCGTTTACCTTACTCCGTTTGTCGGAGTTCATTTTTTGAGCCACACGAGCCCGAGGAGGTAACCACCGCGGTTGTGGCTGTAGCCCCTCACTCGGTCACAATTCAGGGAGCTTAATAGATCATGTTAGACACTTCTACATCTACTTATTCTGAAATCTCATCGTTAGGAGTTATCTACATTTTATTTTATTTTTTATCTACAACGAGGAAGCTCTTGGCCTGTATCACACCTGATGGTAAGTGACGATCAGGCCGAAGGTGGAAGCTAGCTTCACCCGGAATCCTCAACCACGGAGGAACTGGCTATCTTACCTCTAACTGCCGGAACACAACAATGCTGTTAACATTGTTGCTGTTAACTACTCTCTCTAGAGACAGAATCGTAGCTTTTTAATGGTCTACTTAAGAGTACCACGTATTTTTTCTTTGGTAGACCGACATTCACGCTGACGTAACTACTCGTAAGCTTTTACTAAGTACCGGTTCTATTCCCAGGTGGCGCGGCGCTGGGGCGCTCAGAAGAACAGACCAGCTATGAACTACGACAAGCTGTCGCGCTCGCTGCGCTACTACTACGAGAAGGGCATCATGCAGAAGGTCGCAGGTACGACTCCTTTCTTTAGGTGATCCCTCTGTCACTTAGGGATCAGTGACAATCTCATAAAACTCATTTTATTTTTTCCAAGTCGGCTTTAAAAAGCAATTTTACACGTCCCAGTATTAACCCTCGGGACAATAAATGGGCCAGTGCTGAGAAGAATAAATAAATAATAATAATTTCAAAGGTTTACAGTCTTTAAAATATCATCATCATCAACAGCCCTTTACAGTCCACTGCTGGACTATGAGCCTCCTCCACTATAGTGGAGGGTTTTGCCATAATCTCCACGCTAGGCAGGCGGGTTGGAGATCGCAGTTTAAAAGATTGATGTTTTTCAGAGAGCGCTGCTGCCCATTCTCTGTTTGATGTGTAGTCCCTAAGTCGCCTCTTACGACACCCGCGGGAAGAGTAGGGGTTGGTGACAAATGTATAAAATATACTTGGTCTTTATATGCCCAGAGCCCTCAGTAGGTTAAAGAAGCCCCTAACTACAGGTGATGCACTCAAGTAAGATTCAATAGCAACTTGACCTTATGTTTTAAGTTTGGGCTGACGCTTTGTCGTGTTGCAAAAGGACTGTTCCCACCATTGCAATTACTGTGTAGCCAGGATAATACAATATAAACCGCCAATAACAAATAACTAAAGCCTGGTCCGTGAGCACGTAGAATCCCGTCCAATGACCCCAAGCTACCCATCCTTATCGCTCGCGCGTAATTATATTGCTGTCGCGACTGTGCGACGCGCGCCCGCAGTGAGTGTGCGAGCTGTTGTCCCGGGGGAAAGTTAAGCTGTCATTGGACCCGCAATGAAATTAATCAGAAGTCGTTGGTCGTGGTCGTTACATTCCCTCTAATATGGTCGAGTGAAGCGATGGCTGGTTCACTCGTCATGTCTGTGAACAGGCGCTGCTTTCGGGGACTGGTCAATCCAAGTTATTCAAATTTATGTATGCGAGTAATTTCTACTAGTATCTTAATATGTAAGTCTAGATATTAGCACGTCACTACCTTGTTTAATATACCACGCAATCTTGTATACCTTTTCTTATAAGATACACCATACAAGAGTGCATGGTAAATTCAGTGAACTGCTCCTGAATTGAATGTACCTACTACTACTATTTCTACTTATCTATATTAACCGGCAGACAGTGGTGACTGAGTTTGTTGCGGGCGCGCTTCTTCTCAGCACTTGCCAAATGTTGGTCTCGAAGCGCTGGTAGGGTAAAAAGATTATGAGACATGTAGAGGCTCCTTAAGAGCAAAATGACGATTAGTAAGAACTATTTATTAGTCTAAACAAATAAAGAAATTTTGACTTGACTTGACTTGAAGAATTTGTCGTGTTGCAGGCGAGCGCTACGTATACAAGTTCGTGTGCGACCCAGAAGCCCTGTTCAGCATGGCGGCGCCGCGCGCGCGCTCGCCGCCCGCCGCGCCGCCCTACGAGCTGCTGTACCCGCCCTACCACGACCCGCGACGATACTACAACGACCTGCCGCACTACGACGCCTGAAGAATGGATTTATTCACAGCAAATATTTTATTGAAACTGTGCCCATATAGGGTTGCCAGGTGTCCGGATAAAGCCTGACATAGTTAGGCTTTTTGATTGCGTGTCCGGCCAAAATAACCTATGTCCGGCCTGTCCGGCTTTTTATTTGGCTGCCGCGCCAGGCCAAAGTCGAGCTACAGAATAAGGCACGCACGCATCAAGACGTTAGGCAACCGATGATGATAGTACTCACTCGTGAGCTCACTAATTACACCCCCCCCCCCCCCTCGTCGCATGTCCGGCTTTTAGGGTAAAATGACCGGCCAAATGAAGCACATGGTCCGGCTTTTGTGTTTTTGGACCTGGCAACCCTATGCCCATACCATAGCCAACATGCCACATTACGTCGCTTGAAGACTCTTAGATATGCCCAATCAAAACTGTGCAGTTAAGTTACTGAAAAGTTTTACTGTAAAACTGTGCACCGTTCAGTAAAACTTTGCGCATGTCAGTAAACACCCTAGGCTGACGTGCACAAATTTACAGCCCACGCTGCGACCAACTAAAAATCTTGCCGCACTACGACGCTTGAGGACTCTGAGCTATTCCCAGTAACTAAAATATTATGTCATTGAGATTGTGCACCAGTGAAAACCCATAATATCATTTACTGACGTGCTCATATCACAAAATGCATCAGCTACCCGCGACGATACTACAACAACCTGCCGCACTACGACGCCTGAAGATTCTGAGCTATTCTCATCCAAGCAAAACTGTGCATAGTTCAGTAGAACTCTGAGCAAGAGCTCAAAGCGGGAAGGCCCGCCCTGGAAAAACTGTGCACATTTCAGTAAAACCCATATATCATTGGCTGAGGTTGCATATTACGACGCATACCTGCCGCACTACGACGCCTGAAGAACACAAATATTCCGACCAACTAACTATATGTCATTGAAACTATGCGCATGCTAGTAAATACCCACAAAATCATTTACTGACGTGCTCATATCACAAAATGCATCAGCTACCCGCGACGATACTACAACAACCTGCCGCACTACGACGCCTGAAGATTCTGAGCTATTCTCATCCAAACAAAACTGCATAGTTCAGTAAAACTGTGCAAATTTCAGTAAAACTGTGCAAATTTCAGTAAAACTGTGCTAATTTCAGTAAATACCCATATATCATTTGAGGTTGACGTGCCCACATTATGAGCTAGCTACGAGCTGCTGTACCCGCCCTACCACGACCCGCGCCGCTACTACAACGACCTTCCGCACTACGACGCCTGAGGACTCTGAGCAAGAGCTCAAAGCGGGAAGGCCCGCCCTGGAAAAACTGTGCACATTTCAGTAAAACCCATATATCATTGGCTGAGGTTGCATGCCCATATTACGACGCACCTGCGCGACGCATACCTGCCGAACTACGACGCCTGAGGAACACAACTATTCCGACCAACTAACTACATATGTCATTGAAACTGCGCATGCTAGTAAATACCCACAAAATGATTTACTGGCGTGCTCATGCTCATATCACAAAATGCATCAGCTACCCGCGACGATACTACAACGACCTGCCGCACTACGACGCCTGAGGACTCTGTGGTCGCCCAGACCAGACTGTGCAGTTCAGTTACTGAACAGTTTTACTGTAAAACTGTGCACATTTCAATAAAACTTTGCGCATGTCAGTAAACACCCTAGGCTGACGTGCACAAATTTACAGACCACGCTGCTACCAACTAAAAATCTTGCCGCACTACGACGAGGACTCTGAGCTATTCCCAGCAACTAAAATATGTCATTGAGACTGTGAAAACCCATAATATCATTTACTGACGTGCTCATATCACAAAATGCATCAGCTATTCACGTCGCTATTACAACAACCTACCGCACTACGACACCTGAAGAACACAACTAAATATGTGATTGAAACTGTGCCCATACCAGTAAATACACACAAAACAACCTGCCGCATTATGATGCTTGAGGAGTCTGAGCTATGCCCAAGCAAAACTGTGCACAGTTCAGTAAAACTGCGCATTTCAGTAACTTACCCCTAAATTGGCTGGTGTGCCTACAAATTTATAGCCCGCGCTTCTACCAGCTACCTATAATATCCTGTCGCACTACGATGCCTGAGGAGTACACAACTATTTCAACAAATATGTGATTAAAACTGTGCGCATATCAGTAAATTTATACTTACCTTACTCGTTTGAGGAACATGTGCGGCTAAATGCATATACTGACTAGGCAGTTTTTGGAATGCATTTTGCAAACACGCGCTCGCTACCTGCGCTGTTTCTTTAACAAGTTACACATTGAGTATGTATTGCATAATGAAATGTCAAAGAATATGATCATTAGGTACTCGTAATAGTAGTTAGTTATTGTAAAGTAATTTTACAGGAATAATTTCTAGGCTCATAGACTACCTACTGTAAGGTTTACAGATAAGTAAATAAGCAAGTACTTACCTACTTGAAGTTACTGAACTAGGTATTGAATAAAAGAAAAAAATGTGTAGTATGTTAAAATTCCTTTAAAAATCCTACCTACTTTATGTAAACCCTAGAAATGCACTATTTTATTTCAAAATTACCGTCATTATTATCAACCGAATGATTTAAATAGTAGATACTTAGTTGGACATAATGTAAGCCTTAGTTAAGTTAAATGTTTTGACTGTAAAACCTCCAAAAATGCGTTTAAAACTTGATTGTAACAGTTGTAAGTTGTAATCGCTTTATAATCCAGTCATCAGTCAATCATCAATCGATACATATCAATTTGTTTAATGTAAACACAAATAAGTAAAGTGACGCATCATCCCATTTCTTTATTGGTTTGCAATTGGCCACGCTTACTCAGCACAAACGAACACCGATTTAACATACAGGGGGTATTTATTTAGTCAGTTACTAATTTAGAACAATCATTACAATGGATGGACAAAAAGACATCTTGTCCACACCCTGTGTTATCAAAAATAACAAAAATGTCCTAAAAGATCCTGATCTCTCCAACAATAATAGTAACATTGTTGTATTTTGTTAGTTGGAAAGTTAGCCAGTTCCTCTGTGGTTGAGGATTCCGGTGATTCCAGGTGAATCATCTATCAAACAAAAAAATGATACTACGTAAGAATCTAATTAATAGTTTAATTAATAAGTAAATTGTATAAAATATGAGATACATTAAGTAGGATTTAGGAATAAGTTTTCATTATTTTCGGCTGTGATAATTTATTTTAGTTTATTTTACTAAAATATTTTCGATTTTCGTAACTTTAATCGTTGATTCTTTGTTTAGTTCTAAGATAGAAAAAGCATTTTTTATTGAAGTAAATTGATTTTCATTTTAAATGTATCTTACAGCTTTTAAGTTGGTAAATGTCGTTAAATCACATATTTTAACTTCAACCCTTGATATTTAGATTTAATTTAGCAAAAAAAAAGACAGTCGGGATTTATCGTGACTGGACAGAATTACATAGGTTTAACATAAAAAAATATGTAAGTACTATTTATGTATTTAATAGTTGTATTTAGGCATAAATGATATTTTAGAATAGTTAATTATTATAGTTAAAATTGTGCAATACTAGAAAAGGAGACGAGAAAATTGAAATTGTTGTGTGACTGGAAGGCAATTTGGAGGTGGTTTCTACGGAATATCATAGATGTAAGGGAACCCAAGCAATCTTGTGAATAATAAACATAATTGTCCATGAGTTTTGTTTTATTTGGACATCAAAGCTAGGTCTGTCCCAAAGGTGGGCATTGGACTGATGCCGACCTTTGGGACAGAGGACCTGAGATAAGCTAGATAGCTACCATCAGAGTAAATACAAATGAGTAGGTCATCTTCATAGAAACGCACCGAGCGCGGTTTGTATGTGAGCGCGCCAATACGTATGCGGCGCGCACGCACACACTGACAAAATTTAGCATGGATTATCGGGGAGCCAGTCGAGCGAGCAGTCGTGGTTGCGCCGAATTTTGTCAGTGTGTGCGTGCGCGCCGCATACAAACCGCACTCGGTGCGTTTCTATGAAGATGACCTACTCATTTGTATTTAGGTACTCTGCTACCATCGATCGCTGGAATATAGTGGTGAAGGTGAACCAACACCTAACACTAGCATAAAAATATGTATTACTTACTTGGATAGATTAACAGGAATTCACACTAAATAGGTAGGTACGGGATTTTGTATCACACAAACACTTTTAAAAAGGTAAAAAGGTATTTACCTTCCCGACGTTTCGACTCGGTTGCACGAGCCACGGTCGCGGGCAGACTGAAGAGATGCGGATTGCGGCGTCGTTTGTACGGTCGCGATGAATTTTCTTCACCCACCCGCATTTTGCTTTATTTTCGTCCGTGGTACAGTCAGTCTAACAAATCTTCCCGTGTCTCGTTTGACCTTTTTAAAAGTGTTTGTGTGTGAATTTACTAAAAATACAATACAACATGAAAGTTTAAAATGTTAACAGGAACATTTGTTACATAGTTTCTTAACGGTTTTACTAATGATTAACCTTTTAAAAAAATAGTTTTGAGTTGTAAAATTTTCTTGTTTCAGTATTTAAGACGCAAAGATTCATACAAACAAACTACAAACGAATGGGAAGGGCCCATTCGAAAAATATATGTACCTATAAAGGATAGTCCTCCTAACTAAGTATGCATGTACGAAGGCACCACGCGCTAACTTTTCACTGCGGTATGTTGTACCTATTTATTTTTACAACAAACGTGTAGTCTGCTGATGTTCTATCAACTGTACCAGAGTAAATACAAATTTTGTATTTACTCCGACTGTACTCTCTTTCATCAAGGTGTAATAAAACTAACATAATATGTAAAAAAAAAACATTTTATTAAAGATAAACACGACGACAGTCTAATAATAACAATAACTATAATTAATACTCGTAGCAAATACGTACAGTTCGCAAAATAATATAATTTTCTCGAAATTTTATTAGCACATTAACAGTTAAGGGCTGATTTTTCAATCGTCTGATATCTTTTAACTATAGAATAAACTTGTCATTTTGACATAATTCCCATACTAAAACTGTCAATGTGCCAAACTTATTCTTCAGTTTAAAGTTATCCGACGATTGAAAAATCAGCCCTAAATGAAATAAGCAATATTTTATGTCTCAAACTGTACATACGAATGCAAACATAAGATATCAACTCATTACTCATTATTATTAAATAAGGCTACTATCCATTGACGCGGAGCGATATAGCGGAGAGGGATGCGGAGCGGAGATGCGGACTGTTTACATCCATTGTGGTCCGGCAAGCTGTATATCTGTGTGGTATGTTCTGTAAAGGGCCTTTAACCTTTTCAGCGCCACGTCAAATACAAAAGCCATCACTCTGACGCCACGCTTGATAAATTTATGATATCAATATAATCATTGTATTCATTATCATTCAGTTTACATAATACTCAATTAGCCTATACTGACATCATTTTTAAGGCGGATTAATCCGTCGTTAGCGGTCAACCTGATAATTATGTAGGTACGCATGTATCCGTCATTGGCGTTGAAAAGGTTAACAAAGAAGTTGAAATTGAATTGCTGGAGATCACATCCAGTTTATTCCGCTTCTTTCTCCGCTTCCGTGCTTCATTTCTCGGCTCTCCTTATTCACATTTCACAAATATAACAGTATTTAAACAAGTTCGCAAATCGTTGTCCAAGTGGGGCGGAGGTTTTATTAAACAATCATATTGGTTAATATTGGCACAGCGTATCTCCGCTCCGCTTCTCTCCTCTCCGCTACGGTGGGCAGACAGCCTTAAGGCTCGTTCTATAGACACTGAGGTCTTCATTCAATACTAGATTGAAACCTATATAGTGCTTGGTTTAAATCAAATAGGTTCCCAAATGGTGCGTTAATTGACAGTTTCTGTCAAAGTGACAGATTGTAACAATTGACAGTCTATTTCATTACTAAGCTACGCCTGAGGTATTAATATTGATATTTATTTATTTTTACAGTACGAAATCAACAATATTTACATTTATTTAACATTGGTACAAATCTTGCTACATAATAAGTCAAAAATACATCTGTCTTATTCTCACCTATTGAGTGTGAAGAAGACAAAAATATCTTTAGATTTGTATGATTACCACAGCAATGTGCGTTTTACTATTTAATACTCTATGGCTGAGTTGCACCACCTCCTTTAACGGTAACTATGACTATAACCGGTGCTTTAGTATGGAATTTGACAGATTTTTGACGTTTGTCAAAGTTAAAGTATGATGGTGCAACCCAGCCTATGACAATTAAAGTTGTAAGTAATTAAAAATATTGCCATAACAAAAAAAACAATATAACAGACATTTTGACGAGTTGGTATAGAAGAAAAATCTTTGATTTCCCTAAAAATAATAATAAGCGTGTTATAATAATGACATTTATACAATTTTAACTAAGGCTGGTTCTCCAGCTTGTGTTTTGCCCTACACAATCAACAAAAACATTTCAACATTCAACAAAATTGGGATGATGACTGGTAATGAAATAGAAATTCTACATCTCCGTCAGACAGATAATTAGAAAATATTAGACTCATATTTATTTTTTTCATAATCGAATAAAATTTTATATTGAGTTGAAATGTCGCGTGACGTCACTTTTGTTTAAAAAACCTACATAGGCGTGACGTAACGCGCCATTTCAACTCGATATAGCACTGTTATTATTTAATTATGAAAGAAAATAAAAAATATGAGTCTAATATTCTCTAATTATCTGTATGACGGACAAATAATTGAAATTTTGTCATCTAGCTTAATATCTAAAAAAAAGTTGAATGTTGACATGTTTTAGTAGATTGTGTAGGGCAAAACACGCTCTGGAGACCCGGCTTAAAATACACATTTTACAAAAACAAATAACAATGTTTAATTAATAAAATATAACCTTAAACACATAATATATCAGAAGTATTGCACTTAATTGTTTTAAAATTATAAATTTTATTAATTATGAGCATTACATCCTCAAAATTTTAAAAATATAAATAAAAAACTAAAAGGTATAATTAAACAAACGCATATTACATGATTTTGGTTATTTACATTTTTGTATACAAAAAAAATCTAGTATATTTTTGCAGTAGTTGATTAACATGTACAGTAAAAATATTAAAAAGCAATTGGGCACTTTAAATAAACCCTGTATATTGCATTATATAATAAACGAAAAATTTCTCACAATTTTGCAACTGGTAACCAAATTACTACAGTGATTTTATAGGCCTAGTACATAACTGAATTAATACCTGAGGTAATAGGAGCTATGGTTGCCAGGTCCAAAAACACAAAAGCCGGACTCTGTGCTTCATTTGGCCGGACATTTTACCCTAAAAGCCGGACATACCTTTTTAATAACTATCTAACGTAGGTACCATAGCTAGCTAACCATTTAGCGCACGCAATTAGCTCCTGAGTACCTACTCTTTGAATTTTGAATGAACATTATTCTGTGGCTCGAGTTTCGACTGGTGCGGTAGCCACATAAAAAGCCAAACAAAAGCCGGACAGGCCGGACAAGACAATATTTGGCCGGACAAGCCCTTAAAAAGCCAAACATGTCCGGCTGAAGCCGGACACCTGGCAACCCTAATTGGAGCAGCACAGAAGGGGTGATATAATGATGTCAGCGACACTTCAGCGCCTCGATTGCGCTAATTTGTAATGCCTCAAATTCATTCGCGTTTCATCTCTAGACTAAACTCCAGTCACACTCCGTTTTCATTCCAGCTGATGTGCAATTCGGTATCGCGGTAAAGTTCACGCGCAAACAAAGACGAAACAACGGATTTAAGCAGCACATTTCATTAAAAGTCCGAACACCTTATTTTTTCACCAAAACAGCAAATGTTCGTGAGGTTTGACTTGCGGTTGAGATAAAGTAGCGTTCCATCAACTTATACACAAAGACGCAGTTGCGTTCCGTTTATGTTAGCTTCGTTTGAACTAGCTGTCAAAGCGACACCGCGATACGGATTTGTCAATACAGCTGAATTTCGTTCATCGTCCAGTAGCGTTGCAGTTGAAAATATATATTTAGCGCAATCGGCGCCCAGATTCCGAAGTCTCGCTGACGTATGACGTCACAACTACACCCTCCAATACCTCTAGAACTGACCAGTAGCCTCATTCACGTAACAAAACTTCAACGACAACAAATCGCTGAATGCGATCCTATCGAGTAATCGTTCTATCAAAATGACCCTTATGAATACGGATTTAGAACTGTTTTTCAATGGGACGACTTACTGAACGTCAGCGAGATCTTGACTGTCAAAATACGTGAATTAGGCCACAGTTAAGTGACTAGACCTATAATAGTACGAATGTATATCTTCATGTGCTAAAGATTGTACAGCATTGAACGACAGACGATAGTGCGTTTTATTAACATTAGCATAAGGCACACAACATTTAACATGTAAAAACTTTTAACTATTTCGCTAAGCTTAGATACAGGGTGTAGCCGAGTACATTTAAAGGTCATAGCAGACTTATCAACTCGGAAAGGGATCAACACCGTATCGCCTTTCGCGAGCTGTCATCGCCTTACGCGCGCTGTCAACCGCGAGGCGTTTACGTTACGGTGCGATAAGTGTGCGTTGCAGTATGGAGTTTCATACAAAGAATACTAACCGCCTCGAGTTGATACGGTTACGATCCCTTAGAGGCCTCGCAAACGCATTATTTTCACTCAAACAGAAAAAAAAACATTAAAATGTAACTAAACGACCACGCTACATCCTGTATCGTCTAAATTACATAATATCAATACTACACTCGCGAGCAAAAGTATGGAATCACTTACATGAAGTTGTTTCCACGCGATCTTGTGTACTAACGAATTTGTTAGTAACAAAAAAAGTATCACCATTTTCAAGATTAAACTTTTGACTTTAAATTGATACCAAATTCATTTAAATCACACCAGTATTTAAAAAGATATCCCGGCTGATGTGAAGAAGTAAGAAAAAAGACATGTACCAACTGTTTGATACGTCGCGAGTTGCGGCCTATTTACCCCTATAAAAGCACGTGTTTTCGGATTTTTGCGTTCACAGGTTGATCCATACACATCTCGGCTTCTTTTGACACTTTACCTGGGATTCTACACCTACAGAAGCAGCACAAATCGTTGCACTGTTGCAAGAAGGGCTCAGCCAGCGGGCTGTCGCACGTCAGCTCCACATAAGTCAGTCCTGGGTTTCGAAAGTTTTAAGACGCTTTTGGGAGACTGGTGGCTTTATCCCGAGACCAAGTTCTCAACAGCGCCGGTGCACATCGCAGAGGGATGACCGTTTTTTCATGTCAACCTCTCTATGAAATCGTCATTTGACTGGTATCGACGTCCAGCAAGAGCTCAGAAATGTTCGTAGGATAGCTGTTAGCGAGTGGACAGTTCGTCTAAGATATGAGCAATAAAATTTTACTCCAAAAAGGCCTGCCACAGGCTGGAAACTGACGGCAGGTCACCGACAAGCACGCTTTCAATTAGGTCGCACTCGGAAGGCGAGTAATGGAGGCGAGTTTTGTTCTCCGATGAATGCAGAATGTTTTTGCTGTGCAGCAGTCGAAGAGGTCGGGTCAATAGACGGCCTAGGGAGCGATTTGTGCAGTGCTGGTTCGCTAAAACATTGGCTTATGGGGGTGGCTTGCTCGACTTCCGATCGAGATGTGTAGGAGCAAATTGAAAGCGTACTTATCGGTGACCTGCCGTCAGTTTCAAGCCTGTGGCAGGCCTTTTTGGAGTCAAATTCTGTTGTTTATATCTTAGACAAACTGTCCACTTGCTAACAGCTATCCTACGAACATTTCTGAGCTCTTGCTGGACGTCGATACCAGTCAAATGACGATTTCGTAGAGAAGTTGACATGAAAAAACGGTTTTCCCTCTGCGATGTGCACCGGCAATGTTCAGAACTTGGTCTCGGGATAAAGCCACCGGTATCCTGAAAGCGTCTTCAAACTTTCGAAACTCAGGACTGGCTTATGTGGAGCTGACGTGCGACAGCCCGCTGGCTGAGCCCTTCTTGCAAAAATGCAACAATTTGTGCTGCTTCTGAAGGTGTAGAATCCCAGGTAAAGTGTCAAAAGAAGCGGAGATGTGTATGGATCAACGTGTGAAAGCAAAAATCTGAAAACACTTGCTTTTATGGGGAATAAATAGGCCGCAACTCGCGACGTATCAAACAGTTGATACATGTCTTTTTCCTTACTTCTTCACATCAGCCGGGATATTTTTTTAAATACTGGTGTGATTTAAATGAATTTGGTATCAATTTAAAGTTAAAAGTTTAATCTTTAAAATGGTGCTACTTTTTTTGTTACTAACAAATTGGTTAGTACACAAGATCGCGTGGAAACAACTTCATGTAAGTGATTCCATACTTTTGCTCGCAAGTGTATTTTATACACCTACCCTCATATTCGCGTTAAACAGTCATTTAACAATGTTTTGTCTCTTTCATCACAGTTAATTCTTTATTCGTCAGAAAAAGACAGAGCATTATTTATTTAACTTGTGATTAAAAAATCTAGAAGCTGCTTTTTATTAGCTATTCGGATTTTTTATTTGTAAATACAAACATACGTTTATTGTCAATCTTGGATTCAGTCAAGTTCGTTCGTAAAAAAAACAACTACCAATAAAGACAGTTCATTTTTCAACAGGGATGATTTTCGATTTTAAAAACCCCGATTTTAAATTTTAAAACTTTTTGTATGGTACCAGGACCGACATTGAAAAGTAATAAAATATAATTCTTCATACTACACTCAACATCAAATAAACCGCACCTTCCGCGACGCGAACTTTAAAGATTTTCTTCTTAAACAATCATGGTATCCCAACAATATTGGTGTTATTTGAAAGCCCAATAAATATTCTTAAAGAAAAACACATTTAACTTCTAAATAAATGATTTATCATATACCATAAATGTGACTTGAAAAAAGACCTTACTTTGGGCTCACCTCTGGGATCAATTAGACCAAATTTTATGGTTATAAAACCAAATCATGATCTCACGTGTCCTCTTTAACAGATCGATAGCGATTAATCGAAAACTTAACAGTTTTATAGCCATAAAAGTTGGCTCAAGCGTAACTACCTATTTTTTGAAGAAGTGACTCTGGATCCTTCTAACTAAAGACACATTTTTGAGGTAAAAACCTTTCCTTTAATGAAATGAAGTTCAGAACTAGGCTTTTAAATGGTGCCAATATTGTTGGGAAGTGGGGATGTATACGTTTGAGAAGTGCTTGTTGCGGGAGGTGCGATTTATTTGATGTCGAGTGTATTATAATTCATCGATTACATGTACCATCGGCAACAGTGTTAACTATCCATTGTCTGTCATGTCGTCTCGTTCTATCGCAAAGAATCACCATTTGATGAGAGCGAGAGCAAAAACAGAAATGGATAGTTAACAGTGTGGCCGTTTGTCACCTAAAGTGTCCAAAAAGGTGACAACACAAACTTTTTTAATATCCACAACGAGGCAGCTCTTGGCCTGTATCTCACCTGATGGTAAGTGACGATCAGGCCGAAGGTGGAAGCGAGCTTC